AACAACACACACACACACACACACACACACACACACACACACACACACACACACACACACACACACACACACACACACATATATATATATATATATATAAATAAATATAAATACAAGTATATATACGGATTTGGTCCAAACAGATGTGTGAACATCTTTAGCCCTCGTTGACATGTGTGCACGGATGAAATGGCAGGCAATAACTCTTCGGTACAACTAGTGCGACGTTTCGAGCACTCCCATCGTCTGATACAGATACTGTATACAAACAACGGAATCGCCAAAATTCCGAAGATTAAAGCCCACTGCACAACAAATCAGGCTCATCCTAGCAGCACTAACTTCATTGTTGGAATATAGTAGTAGAACATACAATCGATACTTTGCAAACTACATAGTTGCGCCCGTTATCCGGCGAGTGCGGCACATACAGTGTGTAGTATCCATGATTGCGTACTACAATGCGGAAGCGAAGATACGGATATGACTACAATACGCAAGCGTATATACAGACAGGACTACCATACATAAGCGTAGATACGGATATAACAACAATACGTTAGCGAAGATACGCATATGACCACAATACGTAAGCGTAGATACGATATAACAACAATACGTTAGCGAAGATATGCATATGACTACAATACATAAGCTTAGATATAGGTAGAACAACAATACGAAAGCGTGGGTACGGGTAGGACAACAATACGGAAGCGTAGATACGGATAGAACTGCACTAGGTAAGCATAGATACGGATGGGGCTACAATGTGTAAGTGTAGATACGGATAGAACTGCACTATGTAAGCATCGATACGGATAGGGCTACATTACGTAAGCGTAGATACAAATAGGACAGTGGTACTATGCGAAACTCGAGAAATAATTTTGTGGTCCAATACACATGCACATTGAGAACAACGTGACTCATCTCGGCAGTTGTAGGCATATACGTCATTGGCATCTATACCAGAGCCATACGCAAACATACAGACATACATACATACATAAGTATGCGATCATGCCATCTATACCAGAACCATGAACATACATACATACATACTTACATATATACATACATACATACACACACACATACATACATACATACATACATACATACATACATACACACACACACACACACATACATACATACATACATACATACACACACACATACATACATACATACATACATACATACATGCATACATGATAAGTATGCGCTCATGTCATCAACGCCAGAAACATACTGTACATATTTACCTACACAAGTATATACTTGACGTGACACACCTGCACAGAGACGCCAGTCTCCGGATCTGTCACCAGACTCGGCGAATCCTTATTCGCGTCATCCACTCGTTGGAACGTTATCATAACACTGCAGTCCTTCAACGTCGTGCTGATCAGAAACTCTCTTATCTTGCACGCCTTCTCTTCCATGGACCATCCCTGCCACACACTGTCAGTGATCTCGGCAGCGGTTCCATCTGTGGCATTTTTGATCGTCTGCAATGCCGAATCACGAGCTGCCTGCCAATCCTCACCGCCCCACATACCGTCGAGCACTGTGGCGGGATCTTCTTGCATCATTGCTTCATACACCTGTGGGCGTAGTGTACAAATACATTGTAAAAAGTTTGCCTTGTACAACTGTGGAGATGGACAGGCACATATATATAAACATATGAACATATAAAC